ATGACGTCATAAGCAGTTTAGATATGAGAGGGTTGTTTTGATATCATACTATGACATCGCACTGCTTTTTTTGTCTCCGGGATAATATGAGCCAAAGGTTGCAAAACTAAGTGAAATGCTGGGTTAATCCGAGAACGGTTGCCATGTGAATTATAGGGTTGGTTGAATGACATTAAACAGACTTTTTTATAATCACTGTGCAGTTAACTTGGTGTCGATATCGTATATATAATGAGTTAATAATATGCGTAAATTAATTTTTAATGCGTGAATGTACATTGGAAAAGTACCGCATGGGACGGAACGATTAAAATTATCTAAAACATTTATTTCCAGCCTTAAAAATTGAATGCCCCATTCCGACTTACACAATATATATTCTTATTCAATGCATTCAATTTACTAAAATTTAAGAAAATTACGGACGTAGTTTAGATACATTTGGTCAACTACTTGTCTAAAGCCTTGTATAGAGTCTGCATAACATCTGGATTACCGATAGAAAAGACGACCCCACAGATTGAGGAACCCGAGTTCAAGCCCGGGTTAGTCCAACGGTCTTCACGTTTTGTTCTTTGTAAAATTTATGTAATTGCTGAAATAAGGCTTTATTCAGAGTGATATGCCACTTTACAAAAACTTTTTTTTCTTAAAATTTGGAAAAAATCAGAAAAAAGTGTTTATTTAACGTGTCTCGGACCTAATTTGTATAAATTTGGTCAATTATGGAGAATGGAGTTTGCACAACAGCTAGATTACAGGCATAGTGAAGTGATATGCTTGTCTGGTGCCTTGTTCAGAGTAATATGATAAAGGAATGTTGTTGAAAGAGAAATAACCGAACAAGTAGAATCAACTCACCTTGACTGCTTTCCTTGCAATCCTTTCCCGCTAAAACAAAATGAAAGTTTGTAAATTAAACAGTGATGGCATTTGTAGTATGGCTCGGGGTAATACTTAAAAAATGATGGAATTAGCAGTCTGACATCTTGAGTTCGAACCCTGGTCAAACCAGTCAGCCCAAACTTTTTATACCTTCTAGGATATTTCGAATTAGATCAGATGTCGTCATACTGATAACAGGAACAACACAATAATCATTTTAAGCTCTGATTAAAATAAAAAATTAATATTATTTTACAAGTTTCAATATTTTTGACGTGGCCGGGTTCAAATTCAATCAATTGATAAGTTTTAATAAAAAACTTCAAAACCTAAGAATAGGAGTCGACACTTTGTACGAAAAAAAATTCAAGCGGTAAATATAAAATGATTTCATACTGACACTGTAATTCAAACAAGTCAACTCACTTCAGTACCAGATCCGGCAGTAAGCATCTGTAAAGCAATGGCTAAACTTCACAAATTAGAACTATAGATCTGGTTGCAAAGTCAGAATACCAGGAAAATAAATATAGTTCAACAAATTTTCTGTATTTCTAGCGACCACCCTGTATATTTGCTTATGCATAGATGACACACTGGTTATATGTGGCCAAGAGATCAGAGAACCTGGGCGAGAACTTTGTGTGAAAACCTCGAAAAAGTAAAAGGAATTTGACGATATTTTTGTGATAGTCAGTAGTTTATTTTATCACAAACCGAAAGTACACATTGGATGAACATAGTTAGAATAAAAAAAAAATTAACTTCAGTGTAAATGGAGACGCAATAGAAAGTAAAAATTGAGAGAAGCAGAATCGATTTTGAACAAAACTAACGCAAAGGAAGATCCTATTCGTGAATGGGCCGATATGTGATTTACTTTATTTATAAAACTTGATTCAAATTTATTACAAAGCGATTTTTGAGCAACAGTGGCGTAACCTGGTCAAAGAAACGTTTCCAAATTTTTAGGAGTAATATGAAGGTAAACTAAAAAGTCATTAGAAATTTTAATACTTTGCTTAGAAAGACAAAAATGAAGAAATAGAATATCTCGGGAGGCTTGGGGAAAACTGGTGCAGAGAGTGGTTTTCATCGTTTCGTATAAAATGGTTTGCAACCTTAATTTTTGCTGGGGGGAACCCTTGGTGTGAACCAATAATCACAGGGGCGACAACTTGCTTTTGAAAACTCGACAATTATGCGTGATTTGAACTGAGCACTAGAGCAGGGCTGGGCAATTATTTTTGCTATCGGGCCACATTGAATATTCCAAATGCAGTGACGGGCCGGACTAAGTAAAGCCAATTGTGCGTTTTTAATGCATTTCAGTACACATTTAAATAAAACAAAGTACTATTGTACTCCGTTATTTTTATTTAAAACACAGTTATTAAAACTAGTTTAAAACATAAATATCGCGATTTCGAGACAATACATATGATCGGAGAAACGTCACGCTTGCAAAACAATGCTGAATTTTATCATTAATGCTAAAGAGTGAATAACTATGCGGAATTAAGACCATGCCTTCGATGGCCAAACATTCGTGATTCATATAACTCTGTTGTCACCATAGCATTTTTAACGTAAACAGGGGTCGTGGAAAATTGTAACGCATTGAAAGGCGTTGCGAGTTTAAAAGTATGGAATGCACTGCTCTAAAATACAACGTCTATCTGCGTATATAAAAATGTGAAATAAAGTGCCGGAATATACTTAATTTTGATACCTATTTTTGCGATACGGGTATATTTAAAATGCATTGATATGAACACATTTAAATGTCTTGCTTTGTTGTTTTAAACTTAACCCGCGATTGCTTTGGCAAAATATAATCATTACTACTCTTAAATACCACCCCATGCCGCGGATCTAAAAATGTGAGATAAAGTGCCAGATTACTTTTATTCGTGTTTTGCGATTTCGTGAAATCAACAAATGTGATTTGTTCTTGCAACAATGACTTGTCTCTATTTTACAGATTTCACCAATAGAAAAATCCCTACGTCTGCAATAAAACCACACCGAGTTAAATTCAATTTAGTACCATGAAAATCGGTTGAATTTACTTTACTTTGTGCCATGGGCACCAGAAATTTTTCAGTTTCCAATTTCTACAACAGCGTTTTTAATCTGTCGCAAGCCTTCTACATCAATCTTGTATGTGTCCAGTTTTTAGTATTTTATATTGCCGCTCTGAAATCTCGATTTAGGTTGCTTGCAGATGCACTTCTTTATCTTTAGCATTATTATATAATGACTCGTTTTTCTCAATGGTTTCACAGTTCCGTATGCAAGACATATATATATATATATATATATGAAAGTTGAAAGAAATTTGTGATTATAATCACCGACGTAAAGGTGTTTATGGTCTAAATCAGGGGTTCTCAAACTTTTGGTGTTGCGGAGCCCTTGAAAGGTTGAATATTATTCGCGGAGCCCCAAAATAAATTTTAAAATTGTTACTTTCAGATTATTATTCCCGAGCAAGTTAAAAGTACTTTATTTATTCTAAATGCTGAACCTTTTTTAATAGGGTTAACACAAGTCATAAATAAATCTAAATTTTATACTAAAGCTGTAAATTTGACACTTGACGAACATATTAATAAATTAGGGATCGAATCTTTTCTTTTTTGACATTTTTGGAAGACTTAATTAAAAGGCCGTTAGTAACGTGCGCTATTTCATTTTGTTACAATCGCGGATTTTTTTCCGTCAGCATGGCGTGTTTTAAACATCTTTACGCCGCTGTTTATTCTCCCTAAATCAAAAATTTCCCTCGGCATATACATGTATTGTTACACAATGACGACGTTAATTGCTTTTTTGTTCTCGTGGGGAATTATGAGTTCAATGTGAAAAACATGTTACCATATTATAGTCATCGGCGACGAAATGCTAAAAATAATAATCAGTGAAAGGTAAATCCACAACTCAAATTTCTTGATTGAAAAGCGGCATTCTAAAATATTTATAAACTGAAACTTAACTTTGGTTTCAGCAGACTCACCTCAGATTGAAAACGCTTCTATAGACATTGTAAATCACAAAATTTGGTGTTATGTTAGGTTTTCATCGTAGTAGCTGCGAAATCGAAACACAGTCAATTGTGCGCGCGATTTACCTTTTTTTTTCATTCTGAAGCTACCGACGCAGCCGCACGCAATCAATGGTGCGCGCGATCCGCGATGTACCTTTTTTCATTCTGAAACTACCGACGGAGCTGAATGCAATAAAATAATTTTCAATTGTTCGTATTTTCCCCAGACATTGTGATTTTTTAAACAGCGATATCTTGCTTAAAAACAATCTCAAGTGCAAAAGAACAAATCAAGTTTGACAAATCGCAAAAATACGACACCAATTTATTTATAGTTGGCAGTTTATCACATATTTTATGTTATTTTAGAATAGTATTCTTTCATTTTAGTAATCCTAATAGTAATCTCGAATCAAACGTGAGTAACGATGAGCACAACTACATTATACCGACGAGACACGTCAAATGCTCCATCGGTCTTGGATTGAATATTTTACGCAACAGAAATCTCGTTATCCGTTTTTTTAATCGTGAAAAATGTTGCGCGGAAATTTCCGATTCCAATTTTGAACCACCTCCCTCTTAAGAATCCCGGCTGCGCTACTGCTCATAAATAATGTCATTTTTTAATTCCGGCCCTTTACCATATTTCGAGGCTATGTTGTTGTCAGATGTTATCAAAGCTGTTATTGCTTCTTTGAACAGTTACAAAATTTTGAGTCAGTATTTTGAAGAGCAATCGAATAGCTCGCGGAGCCCCTGGGTTTCTCTCGCGGAGCCCTGGGGCTCCGTACGGAGCACTTTGAGAACCTATGGTCTAAATAACATCTCGAGCTGGCGAAAACAATCGGTCATTTAAAAAAAAATTTGTCGAATGGTATTGCCGACTTTTTCATTTTCCTAAACAAAATTTTGTTCACAGTTAAAGTATGCTTTATATGAAATTAAAAAGAAAGTGTCCACATCTAGAAACCTGCTCGCGGGCCGGATGAAACGTTGCCGCGGGCCGGATGTGGCCCGCGGGCCGCAACTTGCCCAGGCCTGTTGTAGAGCATGGCTCAAAACCCCAAAATATTGAAAAAAGATGAATTTTCCAAAAATGTGACTTAGGCCCCTTGTGTTCTCATCCGGCGATATGCAAGTCTAATAATGGTACATGTTTTTAAATCTAGTGCGTTGTATTTGGGTGTAAAATACAGTGTTGAGAATGAATGAAATAATGTCACCATTACAAACATATTGTTGAAATTTTTGACTCTATATAGCCTATATGTAGATGTATGATAATATCACTCTATGCTTTAAAATCATGAAGAGTTAGAATCAATACGTATTACTTATGTCTAGCCCTAGTGGATTGGGATATAACTTAGTTTAGTAAAATTCGTCTATTTCAATATGACCTTGGTAAGAAGACAAACTGAAAAATAGCTAGTCTGTGTTGTTCAGCACTTTTATAAATTACTATCATAAATTACTTGTCCAGTACAAGGACTCCAATTCAGTTGGAAACATTTTTATTGAATATGTTCGAAGTTAACATGCGACCGTTTTTCTACTGCAAAAGACATACTCATCTAATCTCTTTTTTTGTATTTGCAGATTGTAAGTCCATTCCAATGATGAACTCTGGATCATCACTAGATCACAGTTCGAATGGAAGCTTTAATTACACAAAAGCAATGGCAGTGATGGACTCTTTGTTACAGGATTTTCAATCTACAAATACCATTAGGTAGCAGAAAAGCTTGACATTCATCAGGTAGCATGCCTACTGCTCCTGCCAAATGAAGAATTCCCATTCAAAAAACAAAAAAGGCGTAACTTGACTTTCTCATTACGACTGTATTTATTTGCGACCTTTAGTAGTCAATTTCGCCGAATATTTACTGTTTTAATAAATTGTTTAAATCTTAAAAACCTGTCGTGGTTTCATGCTTCCTTTGGGTGGTATAGTACGTTTCCAGCCTTGCAAGAAGGTTGATCTTCCTATCGATTTGGGTGGGGTTGTTAGGGTGGAAATTTTAAACACCTATCCAAAGGGTGGAAGAAGTAGAAAACCTTGTGAACCAAATATTTCGGTTGGAATTACCACTTTTTTCATTTAGAGTGTGGGTGCCTAGTTGCTCTTTTTCCGAACTTGCCAAAATGTACCACAACTCAAGAATACTGTAACTGCAATGTTTAATAACATTATTGAAGACGAATTCCTATGTTCCTGGATTTTAGAAAAGTAAATAAAATATGCAGAATATAGAAAAATTATGGTACCATATTACGATGTACAATCATACATTTTTCCGAATGAATGCGTAAAATACTATAGCATAGAACTCCAATTATCTAGGTGGATCGGAGAGTAAGTTTACCTTAGCAGCACTATATTAAGCGACTCAAAATTTTTGGAACAAGCATTTAAAGTGTGAAAACAACCAAAAATGACTAATATTTTAAAAGTTGATGTTGAGGTCTTTAGGCTTTTGCCTACTACCTTGCCTAATCCTGGAAAATATGTGTTGTTTTACATTACATTTAATGGGTTACGGTGGTGCCATGTTATACTGTTTGTGTCAAACGTGTGTTTCGTTTCGAAGCCAAAATTTCGTTTTGATTTCGAAACGCCAGTGTTTCGAAAATGCCCAGCCCGAGTTGTAAATAATAATTTAAACTTAGTCGTTCCCATTTTGCGCTAATTTAAATCAATAAAATATATCAACCTGAAAACGGACACCGATAATCCTTCTTGCATGTCTTTACTTCCCCATCAGCCAATATTGAACCTAAAAATAGAAGATGGTATATTTAAAGAGAAACCCCATACTTAAGGTCACTAAAATACCTTTTGAAGACTAAACAATTATAATATAGGTATTGTTCATAAAAATGAGTTTTACGATTATTCGTTGTTAGAGAAAGAACTATAGTTATAGCAATGGTAAATAGAAAAGCATCATCGACATAGATTGAATAACATCTCGACACATAAAAGAACAACAACAATTAGATTTAATTGCTTATTATCGACTGACATAGTCCAAATTAACATTTATTCAAAATTGATCGCAACCAAACATCAACATATAGTTAATGTCAGCAGCACAAGATTAACAATGATATATTTTAATTCTGAAAAGCCCTTATATATGAGATTTCCGATTCGGAAAGATACATGGAAGGTAGACGATCATCAATACCTTGCGTCTTTCTATTTCAAAATCGCCATTTTGCTTTATTAGCAGATGTCAGTTAAAGTATTGGCAGCTAATTTTAGCCTAGCATTCGAAAATAGGTTGCATGTGATTCATATGACAATGCCTGCGCCAAAATGCGAATAACAACAATAAAGGCAAAGTGGTTGACTGATGTTTTACTTCGCAAATAAATCAAAGCTAAAACGACGACAAAAACAACAAACATAAGAATTCAAAGATATGTTTCGGGCGTTGCTTTTTGTGCAATAAAACATTGTGTTTCCGTCATTTCTTATTGCATACCGATACCATTCTTATGTTTATGTCATACGTACAGTGTCTTGACGTTTGTTGAATACCAACAAGCCATGATGACCAGTCTGATGCTGATATATTTTAGTACCACGAGCACTTTAGTGAGCTTCGCGTAACAATATTTGCATATGTCATTTCTGGTCACCTGACTTCAGATATTAGGAGATCTTGCCGAAGTAAAGCGCCGATCACTCGTAATGGCTCATGCGCCAACGATAGCAAACTCACCAACGCTAGCGCCCTCCCTTGTGAAAATATTGTACCGTCAAACTAACATTAAATATGGGAATCGGTTCCATTACATTTGAACCCACGTACATTTGAACCCATGACAATTGCACCTATGGAATTGTTTTTGTTTTACGGATATTTGAACTCATACTCACCCTAACCCATGGGTTTTAGCACCCGCATATAGATTGAACCCGCGGATATACGCATGGGTTCAAATGTACGTGGGTTCAAATGTACGTTTACCATTGGAGTCAAATGTGGCATATTCAAGCCTTGCTTTGAGTGAAAACGTATAAGAGACATTCTAGCATCCGTTGCTGAAATTGTCAAGCCCTCACTTGATTTTATGCTGAAGTGCACAGTATCACTCACGGCATGAGTAGCCATTTCCAAACATGCCGTAATCGGTCCATGCTGGGTTGAAAAAGAAGATAAATTAGCGTAATCGGTGAATAAGGAATGTTTCGTGGTGGCACTGGGGAAGTTCTGGGCTTTCCTCAAAATAGGTGTGTGCAACGTTTAATATAGGCGGGCCAAATACAAATAATTAGGTGAACCGCGGGTTGCATCTTTTTTCAACTTAGGCTTTCTAGTAGTTGCAGGCACAAAAATTCGGTTATTGATCTTATGACATGCGTTGTTCGCTTTGCACGAGCTAGATGGTCCCCAAACTTTTTTTTTCGCGACCCCGATTTTCATTAAATCAAGGCCTACAGATACTCGCGAAAAATCAGTATATCAGTTTCAATTGCCTCAATGGGAACAATTGTACCTGTATATCGACTACAAGTAGACGTTGACGGTGAACATTGGCCCAAAAATAAATACGAACAAGTCCGGCAATGCGCCGGAAAAACTGGGAAAACTCGGAAGATTTGTAGACACATGGACAAGACACGTCGTATGTAAACCACGGTGTTTTTTGGCGAGACATAGACGAACTTGATAAAATGTGGTAGATTGTGAGCATGCGTACGATACTTTGGAAATAGTAAGATTGCTTCTGAATATACATAAATTTGAAATCTTATTTAGTACCGTGTCTTTATTATTTTTAGTTCAATGTTAACATATTACAGATTGCTCCATTATTAATTCGAAAGTGAAACAGAGCATGAACGTAAAACGGGAAAAACATGTACGGAATCACAGCTTCTAAGTGCCTTTTATTGTGCTTAAACTTGTTGTGGTTTCGTGTATGACTGCTCGAAGCGCTTTCAAATTATGTATAAGACGTCTAACTACAAATATTGCAATACGAAGATGTTCGCTTCTATGTGGAGGCGATGTTGACAAAAGACCTAGTCTACTGTAGAATTTAGACACGTGCGCGAATTAAAAAAGCGCTTTCGCAACCGATCGAAACCTAAAGTGTAATTACCCGGCCTAGGAACCGCCTGGCAATTAATACCATACTTGTCGAACGAACACCTAGTTAAGGGCCAACCGTCAAATAAAGCAACTTTGCTTTGTATATTTGTTAACCAAGCGGCAACACTAGTACAAATGAACAAACCAACATAATTTCTCGCAGCCTGGAAAATCTGTTTTGCGTAAAAGCGGGTCAACTACTCATTCGGATGTAACATGATCAAAAAAACTATAAAAGGAAAAATACATTATTGGCGATCGCAACCTTGTCACTCAATTACATTTACTAATACCGGTACCTGCCGACCAGCTTTACCCAGTAATTTTAGCGCCGTTTCGACAATAAATGGTCGAGTTATTTCTGAAAAATACAAAAGTTATGCACTTTTACCGAACCTGCCGACTGAAACGGATTTCACTTTCCAACTTTCAAATCCTAGTCACTTGTATGCGCATGTTTGACAGAAATTAGGCGACCCCGGAAAATCTTCACGCGACCCCGTCCGGGGTCGCGACCAACAGTTTGGGAACCAATGCGTTAGACAACTATTGTCTTTATAAATATCCACATACCTGTGTAAGTCAAGATAATATTGTTCGTTTGAAATTGGTAGGGTTAATTCACGAACGGTGATGATGAATGCAATGACGATGTAAAAAATAAAAATCAGAATAAAATAACTTTAGTCCTTAATTCACTCCTTAATAGTTGTCGTTAACATACGAACATACGTCTTCGATGCGAACGCTTAGTTCTGCCAGACATATAAAAACCAAACGTCGATATCTGCCGTTGTGTGAGAATTGATAATTGTAAAGGAATATATGGGCGGAAATGTAAATTACAAACATTAGGATGGCTAGCGTTCTGGACTCCTGTTAGATATTAAAAATATTCGATATTTAATAAAAATATTTTATTTGCCAACCCCTAGCGTTTTGTAATTTAATGTCGCCGTAAAGCCACTGCAATGTAACTTAATAAAAACTTTATGTAATTCAGTGAATTTCTCCCCATGAAAAGTGTGGTGGAGTGGGGCGATTATTTCACATCTCAAGCACCGAATACGGTTATATTTTAGTTGGTTTTAGAGGTATGAAAATCTTATATGTCGACTTCATTCTTACAAAACAACGTTACAATATAGCGGGGGTGTTCAACACGTAGGTCGCAATCGACCGCCACGTCTCGAGTAGGCGATCGCGTCTGATATTGAGTGAATTCAATAACATACCCAAAAATTTTGCAATAAACAGGTTTCATGCAATAGCGCCTATTGTGCTTTAAAACATGACGAATACAGTTGTACATGCGTGAAATACGATATACACATACTGCGCATTATTTGAGTCTGCACAAACCCGTTAGATTAGAGCACTTTATCACGTAATAAATAAATTTTTCGCCGCTGTTATGGTTTAGTAATGAACTTGCTGAATATAAAGCATCATTACTGCGAAACGATCCTACAATACCTTCCCCAGGATGCGAATTTTGTTGTCTCACTCCAAGAGTAATCTGATGAATTGTATTCATAACTGTAACAGTGGCATCAGAATGTCCAATTTTTTTTCCAATTCCAGGTGATCGAACTTGGAGGAAATTGTAAATTAGATACTGAAGTGCGAGTGGTCATGTAACATTTATGGTTTGAGGATAGTTATTTTTCGCTTTTTAGATAATTTGGATACTTGGCCAGATTATTTGAGGAATTTTTAACACTCACGACTAAAAATGAGGCAGGCTGTATGTAACGTAATATGTAGTCTTACTTCCATTCCACCGTGTGGCGCTTTTGCGTTG